ATTTTTAGGTCACAAACCATTGTGACAAGTCGTTCAAAGGACTTACAGGCTACTGGGCAATGTCAGGTGGCTGCTAATAAAACAAGAGGAGTACCTCTCAGACTACAGACCACAGTCACCTGCAGGAAGGCCGAAGTGTTCTTTCCACTGTACAAGGCAATGGTGCGTCGACGCGCGCATTGAATCCACTTCTGGGATACTGCGTGGACGCTGGGATCCCATACTATCGCAAAGATATGGAGTGTTTAGAGAGGGTAGAACGATTGGCAACCAGAATGGTCACGGGACCATTGGGCGCCAGCCTCGAACCCGAGAGTCACTTCAAGACACGTAGGAAAGAGCTACTCGCAGCGTCTGCAGGACCTGAAACTTCTCTGGCTGTCACGCCTAAGGACCGGGGGCGACTTGATTGAGGCCTTCAAGATAGCAAAAGGGTTAGCCGGCATAGAACTAAGCAGCCTCTTCGTTCCTGTTCCGGATTGTGGCACTAGAGGCCTGCAACGAAAGCACTCCTGGTCGGAGTTGAGAGCCAAGTTCTTCACAAACCGTGTGATGCATTTGTGGAACAGGCTACCGGAGAATGTCATAAGCTGCACAACAGTGATGGCCTTTAAAAAGGCTTTGAATATGTGCTGGGACGTGGTATTTCCGGAGCCGGCCATTTGAGAGGCGATGAAGGGACAAGGTGAGTTCATTCCTATATCTATATATTTCATTTATACATATCTGGTGGATTTGAAACTGCACCTGAAAATTCTGCCTTTCAGAAAAAAAGCAGAACAAACGTTTGACGAGCAGCGTTGGAAGCCAAGGCAACTAGCTGACAACACAACGATCTGGACACGATTGGTGTCAACTACTTCCGTCCTGTGTAAACTGAACTGAACTTTATAATATCGTAAATTTGAGATATTTATTTTCTTAAATGTCTTAATTAAGATATATTATAAAACTTTGGCACTTTTCGAGGTTCAGTGGTAAGTCCCATTTGATCAACCATTGTCTAACCACCTCTACAGAGAATGATTATATTTTTATAGTTATAAAAAAGGTATATACTGCATTACCGAGGAAGCACCAGTGTACGTTTGAGCGTACCAATGGGATGCCCCTGGGCGTCCCCTTACGGCATCCGTTTTGAAACTATAAGGGGACACGCGAAAAGCAGCACCACCGACCGGTGAAAGGAAGTGAAATATTTAGGAGCTCACCTATTATGGCGTTCGTTATTTTCGAAGCTTTCAGCTCTGGTAGTGTCTGCAGGTTGCAAAATCCGAGTGTACCTATCCTGTCTCTAACAGAAGAGGAATTTCATTTCTGCCATTGTCTCAGCCACTGCGAATCCAGGGAGCATATCAATATAAGATCCTGGACACTATGGTAATCGCCGTCACGGTCCTGGTTACGAACGTGCTGAATTATCTGCAAAACTTGCTTACGGACAGAAAATTCTGCGGTCGTTTCCAGGTCGCTTTTACGTGGTGGCCCGTCTCCAGTTGCGTTCCCCAAGTCTCTGTTCTTGGTCCGCTCCTGTTCGTGGTTTACGTCAATGACTTGCCCGGTCAGCGGTGTAGGCCATCACTCATGATATAAAAATCTGGCGTACAATCAAGGGGTCAGAGGATCGGAGTACTCCAAAAGAAGACCCGAAAACCTTGGCTCATTGGGTGGACACTTAGGCCTTTCCAGTCAAACAGCTACGTGTGCTTATTTGCACCCGGGCGATAGTTAAGTTGGAGCGTGTACAAGGTGCTGCCATTAGACACCTTGTTGGACTACGTGGGACCAGATTTGACGGTCAGCTGCAGGCCCTTTGTCTATTTCCAGTTGCGTATCGGGGGATATGAACTTCCTGAAGGGTGATGTGGACTCGAAGTTGCAGCAGAATTTCCGACAACGGACAAAGGAACGCATACGGGGAACCCTCTCAGGTTACGTAAACTTCATTTGGTTGGTCTTCTGATAGTCTACCGACTGTTGCTAAGGCCAAAAATGCTCTGGAAATCCCTTACAGCAAACTTAGTGGAGGCGACGGTCGACGCTGCTTTCAGGCAACACCTGGATGGGCACCTCAAGGGGCCGTAGAGGGATGAATACACGTAGATTCCGGCGCACAAGCTGCTAGTCACCCATTTCAGGTGACTATCCCCAGGCGTCGCGTTTCTAACTTTTAATCATCTTTTTTCCCAAGAGCGGCACAACTGTGGAACAGTCCCCCTTTCAGTCTTCCATTCATCGTATAACATCCTTATCTTTAAAATTATTCAACAAGCTGGTTCTGGCTTAAATTTTCCTCTTACCTTCTAACGAACAGCAGCACATCTCTGGATCATGGAGGTTACCCCTTTTTCTGTATTCACATTCGTGTAATAAAAAATGTGATCGGACCTTCGACCGGTGGCGACGGAGCTTACACGCCAGTATCCTGCCCTCTGCCCTCAAGACTGTCATCTTCCGCAAACATCGCGAACATACCTTTATTTATGCACAATTTTACTGTACTCAGACAGACTCACTCGCACATTTTGCAAACAAATGTAGATATATTATCCGACGAATATTTACTGGTAGTAAAATTATATTGTACGTTATATATTAGGTAGTTCATTGTGGTATTTTTCAGGTGCCTGCGCGTTTGCCATATTTTCGGATCACATTGGGATTTCGTGTTCAATGGAATTAATGAAAACGTTGGCATATATGTTGTTTGTTTTGATAGCATCTTTTGAATAAATAAAGATCGTCTTATAGTTACTTACTGACAGCAGCTTTCCTATATGGTCTAACGAATACCTGTATTTCTCATTGTTTATAGGTTTAATTTGTGATAATAGCAGCGCTATCATGCAATACTGCAGAAATGGCACATTTTACTGCGTAGAACCGGACGAACAATGCTGGGAGTAAACGCAGAGTTCTAGGTAATCGCGGCGGTCCATGAGAACAAGTGATCGACTTCCATATACTACTACTATACAGTAACTAAAACCGGCACATGAAAATGCATGGCTAATGCATGTAAAACCGGAAACCTAACTGATATACAAGATTCGCTCCACCTAGACAATATCCACAAAAATTATTGTACGTTTACAAAACTCCTAGTTTTGTATACGACTCATCAGTGAACAATATTCATAAGAGCAGCTTTCACTTACCGGTTGCAGTTTAGACGTTCAGGTTGTATCAAACCGTCGGATTAGATAAATCGACCTGGAACATTGTGTAACCACAAAACCATTGATCTGTATATTTTTTCAAGAAACGTTTCCCCCTATCGATGATAACCGACGTTCAGTGAAGCAGGTCAAATTAACTTACCATTGCTCATAAGTCTATATCTACACCGAGGATAATATATGAACAGTTTGGTGTCGACTAAAACTTTTCTGTTGTTAGCGGAGATGGATTGACGTCAAATATTTGCAATCTTTCCCCAATGTCAAGTATTTGTTTAATGAGATAGATTGCATAATTATGAAAACACATTTATACATGAACCGGTCTTGAACACCTTTTTCAGTGTTCATAAGACTCACGTCACCCCTCATGGAACACATAATCCATTGCATTCTTACACGGTGATATGTCCACCGAGGTGTAGAGAACACTTTACATTACTAAATAAAACTAGATGTTGTTTGTATGAATAATGGAATAACTCTCAATAAAAGTTAAGAATGAATAAATACACTAGCTATCCGATGGAAGTTAATTACATATCTCTACATTACAACACTGTCGACGAAGAAAATGAAGTCAACCAAATTATCATACCCGCCCCCCAAATTAAAAGAAACGTTGAGTTTAGACTTCCAGAATGAGAACTTATAGATGAAACAAAAGGTCCGGAAGAGCCTTTGAACTAAAACTCATTGGGATAAATGGGTTCTAGTCGCACATTACAGTCAAATAAAACAGTTAACTGATGCAGCTTATACACATATTAGTAGCTAATGTTTGCGCTACACAGTGTTACCTGAGGCGACACCTAGTCCCAAACTGAAGTTTATTGGTTAGTGGTCACCATAAATCCCGAAAAACCTTCGTATATACCGTTCTACAGGAGGTCCGCTTATGGGTCAGGAGGCCCTGGCCCGTCACCGGATCTAAACACTTGACTTCTGGTTAGGTGTCTGATCTATGTTTCGATTGCTTTTTGTCGAGTTAGTAATTTTCTCTACTGGCTTGTTATAATCGCTCCTTCTAAGCTAGACTAAGCCTTGGCTGCTGCATGTTTCACATCAGTTACTGACAGGATTTTTCAAGGTACTGACTAGAAGCTAAAGATCCTTCGATTTCACTGAAGTGAACTACCATAAATGGTAGTAGGAAGCCAAATGTGTGCACAATATTGCTACCCAATAACTCAAAAATAGACTGTCGGTGGCGACACAGGCTGGTCCCGAGACGGGATTTGAATGGATGTATTATTGCATTTAAATATTTCTTGAAGAACAGTACTACACATAGACATGTTAGGTATGAGGTGAACATTCACAGTAAGCCTACTGATTCGAGTTAGCTTCGTTTTTTCTTGTGACACGTATTTTATCAGTCACAAGATATACAGAAGAAAAGTTTTAAAAACAATTTTGTTTACGTAAAACTATCATGCGTTCAAAAACATGTTATTCGATGACAATTCCGAAAACAATTGTATTTTCGCTTGAGAATCACTGCCTCGTGAACTAGAGTATTAGCCTATGTTCTGCTAACTTGGATTTTGAGCATGCTAAGATAAACATCGTAAATTAACCCAACATCTAGCTCCAACAAGATGTATTTTAGGATTTGCTGTATGGGAGTAATCGAATATTTGAGTTTCAGATTTCCAAACAAGTTTTCAAGAGTTCTTATAGTTAATTATATATAGTGAGTTTATATAATTCATTGATTTCACGTGTTACTGTATAATTACCTTTGACGTGCTGTTACCTGATTAATGATGTTTTTCACAGTTCAATTTAACCGGGTTTTATTGAAACGATTTTTCAGCCTTCATAATGGAAAAACTTGATGTATCTGTGGTTGGATCCATCAACACTGACCTTTCAGTGTAAGCTCATGCCACAACTTGGACTGACTATTTTGTTCAACCAGATACACCGATGCTGTGCCTGAAGCAGGAGAGACTGTAATGGGTGCAGAATTTATTATGGGATTTGGAGGGAAGGGAGCCAATCAGTGTGTTGCTACACAGTTCCTTGGAAGCAAGTCCGCCATTGTGGCAAAAGTCTGTTTCTGTTCTCATTAGAAGCCTTACATTGTTGATCTCTTCTGAAACTATAGGTCGGATGTGACTGCTTCGGCGACGCTTATTTGGAACACCTGAACAAAATATCAGTGAACACCAGTAAGTGCCAGTTTTACACGCGATGTTTCCTCTCAATTTTCACTGTACAGACGTGCATCTTTCGAATATATATATAACTACTATCCACACCCAACACACGAAGACGGACCTCGTCATTGCTCACCCGATGTTCCCACAGGACACAAGCAATGCTTCAGAGACATCAGTGATCGAATACAGGAAGTCAATTAGCATTATCAACGCGGAGGCCAGGTCTCGCCCCCGTAAAGTAACACGCTACAAACTGTGGCGATGTACACCCTTCCCTTAA